GGAAGCCCTCACACCCGCGGCGGCTTCGCCGCCCGGGCGTCTCGGGCTTCCACGAGTCTGAGCCACACGGCGAACTTACTTACCGTAATACATACTACAGTACATGTGAGGGCTCTCAACATAATAGAGGCCCTCCTACCTTTGGGAGGACTTATTCGATGGTCAAAGATCCAGGCATCCAGACGCAGCCAGAAGCACGGAAGGATCCAACCACCTCGAGCTGCCTCGTAAGACACTCGAGCATTGCTGCGATACCGCTTATGGGAATTATGAGTCACGTGTTTCCCACGGAGGGAGCGGCATCGCCGGCTGCGAACGACTTATGGTCGACAAAGCCCTCCTCTCTCCCTCCGGTCGGAGTCGGGGAAGAACAATTCCTTTGTACGTCAGGGATCGTAACTCATGTCCACATATTCACTTGTGGGGGAGTGGGCCATGGCTGGCAGTATGATCCCATTTGTTTAGACAGATGTTAATTTGTGAAGAAGTTCATTATTTCCCTGTTGCACTATCTAGTCACTGTGTAGTAGCCCAAATATTCTATGTACTGGTAGGCACTGCACCAGATATTACTACAATGCACCATGTGTAATCATACCTGCTTCTTAGAACATAACCAATGCTGTTTCAAATGACACACATGTTCACTCCTGGGTCTATGATATTATTTTGCCACTTTCCAAATACCATCAAAGAACCTGGTATAAGTAGCTGTCATTTTATAGTAACATGTAAAGTAAAAATGTTGCAGCCAATTGAATGACCCAAAGCCACTTATTGACTAGAGATATAGAAGATGAGCATTCTATGTCTTCTGACAATTTCACTATAGTATGGCCCCTTGTAAGCAATGTAAGTCTGTACTACTGCCAGAGCAACAATGTCTTTTTTTTGAGCCCAATCAGTAGAGAAATAACAGTATACATTGAACAAACAGGCAACTTCATGCATGGTACAATTAGTCCTTGCCCATGAACAAGCCAAGAGCTGCCTACTATATCTCCACATCCCAAGGACCATTGCATGACAATAGGACCTGGTATTACATCTGGCCCTAACATGGGGTAGACATTAGATATGCTCCAGGCAATTATCTATGAGGGATCAACAACTAAGCGTAGCACCATCATACCATGTAATTGGCACTGTTTCACACTGAGAAGATGAGGCAAAGATATGTTTATATTAGTACAATAGAGACACTGACATCAGGCTATGTGCATGAATCAGCACAGATGTTCTGTCATGTATCAGCCTACAGCAGTCAGCACAGGATGAAGCTATAGGAAGATCTGATTTGATCTTATCTACCATTCATCCAGCACTGCAGAGACCATCAAGAACTGTGATATACATGCATGGTAAGTTTGCATGTCTGGTGGCCCCACTTCATGACATTGCTAGCCTATAGAATTTTTCAGTAAGAGCAGTAGATGCACAACACAACTTGTATAATGTCTCTGTTTCACTTTGTAATGTTAGTACAGTGTGAACAAAAGCTAGAATCCATCATTGTGATGGCCATGCCATTACACAATGGACATGCAAACCAGAGTCAATCTTATGAAAACTCTCAGTGTTAACTGGGATCTTTGTGCTGCAGGTATTCATTATTGAGTGATCATGGCCCACATTAGGGGACCAATTACTAGTGACAGCAAGTAGTACAAGGTCAGTGGAATCATACATTATCTTTCCTTTTGTCTGCATTTTCTGAGCCCAAACTCAACAGGTACTTCAAACTTTCCATTTTTGGAAGCTCAGGTATCACAATACCAATATGTACAGAGGTGTGTGTATTTCCTGTCTCTTCGTGAATGGTGCTGTAGTTGTATAAATATATGAGAGGTCTTACTATGTACAGACTCTATGATGTCACATATCTCACTGGTGATATTCCCAGTTACTTTTTGCATTTTTGGGAGGCCATAGCACAGCAAACACAGTGTCACTGATGAGCTGGTATTCAAACTGAGCCCCAGAGTTTGGCAGCCTGCCATTTCAGGTCCTATTGAACAATTGAACAAAACAGAACAGCCTAGGATCCTGTTTGGAGTTGCCAGTCCCTGACAGTTGAGGGTGATACTGGTGCTCACAAGATGGACCAAGACTCACTGAACAAGTAGTTTGTATCATGGGAAACTCTGCACTATCATCACTTTTCTATGTAGCCTCAATAGTGAATCCAATATGAATCTATGGTACTCCCTGACTTGTCTCTGATTTGTCTGCTATTCATCCAGTACTGTAGAGGCCATCCATGGCCAACTTCCCAAAGGGGCAGGGGACTAACCATATATGGCAGTTTTGTATGTCTGCTTCAGAGACTCCCCCTGTGGAACACTCTAGTAAGTATGCACACAAAGATCTGCCCATATGCCTGAGTACCACTTATTATGGTCAGTACTCTCAATGATACCTGTCCTGGGCACTCCCATCCATACAAGGAGCATCCCATGGAGGAGTAATATTTTGGCATTTTATCGCATTTAATGGGTCCCTAGTAAGAGCTCAGTTAGTGTGGCTTGAAGCCATCAAAAAACTCGGCATGAAGAGCTGAGATGGAAAGATTACTTGAAAAGGGAATATTTGTCAGCATTCCAGCCAATGGGAGTGCTCCAAAATCCCTTTTGAGTGACCGGAGTCGTGAATTCTGGCCTGTTAACAACTCTGCTTCAGCAACGGTCGCTTAATTGAGTGATTAGTAAGCCATGTAAGTGCATACATACTGTTAATGCACTTGTTTTGGGCTCGAGAAAATGCGGAATAATCAGATAATATTCCAGGAGATATGTGGAGCATCCCTGAGCATATTCACAAGTGGAGAATATTGCCCTATATGGTCATTTAGTGCTGAGATATCAAAACATGCACATTATTACCATGTTTCCCCATCAATAGCTATGCTGTGCAACTTCCAGACACACCCATGCATTGTAAACTATGCACATATCTATACAGGCAATGTGTTTCAGAGACAACAAGCCATTCATATCTGCACAGTCACTTGTGATTCTCTAGATGTTGTCCTTTGTTCTCCATTCCTCCAATGTATGATTAACCTTTTGAATGATGGGCTGTCAAATGGGCTTATTATCTCTATAACCTCTATAAGATTTGATTAGATTTCAGTCAGTGTATCCCTGTCAAATGCCACACAATCATGCATATGTTTCTCTGTTTCCTGAATTTCAAACAACCGGGCAAGTCATACTAGTCATATATTGAGGGGGGGGCCTCCATACATGATTGTTTTCTTACATACAGCAGACATCACAAATGATTCCAATCACAAATAATATTCCCTGATTTTATCTGGATTTTCTGAGCCCAGATTCAATAGGTGAATGGGAGTTACCATTTGGGGAAGGTCAGATACCCTATATGGCAGGTCTCAGATGTCATAGAGTCATGAAAATACATGGTATAGTGATGGCGTCCATGTAGAATAAAGGAGAACACACCAGGACGCATTCCATGACTTGGACAGGGCAATGGAGCTCAGAATAATTTGCAGAAATGCGGAATAAATTCCAAGCTCAACATAATCAGGCAGGCTGCCGAGGTTTTGGGCTGAGTTTGAATCTCAGCCACAAGCTCATTAGTGGTGCTGGCACTGCCACTAAAATGGGGAAAATTCCCTATGACATAATCTCTGCAAATAGGTATGATGTCATAGAGTCTATAGCTGCTGTGACTTGCCCATTACCTTCAGTGGTTATGGCACAATTCACAAAACAAAAAAACACACAAATGCCTCTGTGCACATGAGTACATACATTTTCACCTCAAAAGTGACTCATGTGAAGCCTATAGACTGCCCGTGCATACTGTACTTTTTCCGACGTCATTCTCTTCAGTCTACCATTCTCCATAATGTTTGCATCTTCAGGGATTTGAACCCCTGCACTCATCCGATTTTTCACTCCTTCGTTGATTTCGACTTTGTGGCTGTTTCTACTGTACAGTTATGGTCGCCTTACGTAACGCACACCATAGACAGTCCGCCTTGTTGAGCTCTCTAAGTCCCTAAGACTTTACAGAGCTCGACTTAGGCCTTTGGAATTGCTCTGAGGCGCACTGCAGCCAACACGTCCATGGACTGGAAAAAGACTGGGACTGAACTGGGACTGGCCTTGGAAAGACTGGACTGGACTGGTCAAAGTAGGACTGGTCCTACCCAGTCCAGTTGCAGTCTTCCAGGGTTGGGCAAATTGGAGGGACTGGTCAAAAGACTGGTTGCAACCAGTTGCAACTGGTCTTTGGCCACCCCCATAATATGCTGGTGTACATGGCCAAATGGAAGGTTTTGGGGGTCATAAATAGCAGTAATACATAGGATATGCACAACATGGTGGACATATTAATGATGTAACCTATTTAGGCAACATGTATTGTCCATCTATGCACCTCCACCTATGCCTAATATGGTAGGTATACCTGTCTCACCCTTACTGACATCACATGCCTTGCCTGTATCAGTCATTATGGACTGAAATATGATGCTCCCATGGGATACACACTATTGCCTACCATTATATACCATATTACAATAGTACAAGAAGCTTTGTAACCAAACATGCAGACATAATTGCTGAACAAACCAGTTGCAACTGGAAAAAGACCAGTCAGGACCAGTCAGGACCAGTTGGGATGCATGTGCAGTTGCACCCAGTTGGGACCAGTCTTTGGAGGCAACTGGACTGCAAAGGACTGGTCGCAGTCAGTCCAGTCCCAGTCCTACCATTTTGGGGTCAATCTAGGACCAGTCGCAGTTGCAGTCTTTCCTCTGAGGGGTCAAAAGACTGGACTGGACTGGATTTTCAAACACTAACAAAATCCATCTCCTCCTTGAGTTTGACATATTTCTGTTGCATCACATGTGAGATGGCAGCAGAGGCTTTGCTGGAGTTTTGGTCTAGTTCAGCTTGAACAGTCTGCTAGCTCTTGGTGGTAGGCTTCCAGTTCATCTATACGGCTCTTGACTTGGGTCAGACCCATCAAGAAGGTGGGCTCATTCCCTGCTCTCCCCCACACTGGTTACTGGCCACAGGCTCAGTGGACGGTCTGCGCATGTCCTGTATTTGCTCCTCTAGCAACATCCTGTGAGTAAGTGGTGTCTCAAATTGATATTTGTGCTCACCCACAACCGCCAAACCATCCCCCAGATCCTTCACTTGCTCCTTGAGCACATCAAGGTCGCTGCTCATTTCTGCGTACTTGTTCCAGCATGCATTCAGTGGATACTTTGTTAGGTTATTGAACATGTTGTCCAGGTGCTTCTCGAGATTCTGAGCTGACTCCCTGTGTTTGCTGTACACTTTTTCAATGGGCAAGAGTGCGGCCTCGCTCTTGTCCTGCAGCTGCCCCAACTTCCACAGCTGCCTGGCTTTGTTGCTCTTGGCATTTGCTCTTGCAAGGTCCTTTTCATATTGCCAATGACCACTCTATAAATGTGCCTGTGTGCAGTGGTAGGTGCCACCATGACTGGCCAAAAAAAGTGACCTACGTGGCGAGAGTCCACCCATCCACCAGCTTGTCCTGGTCCATAACACCTAGTGCCTTGGAGTCGGTGCACGGCCTGAAGAGGTGAATATCCTGCTTGATTGTGATGGGATGTCTGTTTTCCGTGTGCCTGCTTTGTAGAGTGTTGTAAGGACTTGAGCAACTGTGACAAGTACTGAGTACTGAGTGATGGTCCACGTCAGGATCAACTGAAATCTGAGATCTTAGATCTGAACTCTGTAAGACTCTTTGGAGTCTTAGCACCGGGAATCACTGTTTTTGAACCCCAAACACCCCAAGAACTGAATGACTTTGCAAGCATGATACTGCGTGAGGAGGTGGCTTGTTTAGAACTGTTAAATATGGTGAAAGCACTCCTACAATTGCCAGCCTACTACAGGATGTTCTACTTTTTGATAGGTCTTGACGAACAATTCTACATGCTACATCACAGAGAGCAGCTTCTGCACACATTTTCTGTTGCATTGGTGGCAAAAGAAACCCAATTGCTAGATCACAGCTAGCACTGAATTAGCTATGTAAGGCATCTTCCCCCTTAGCCAGGCAGCACATTGATGACTTGCTGCTCTTGTTGTCTTCCCCTTCTCCTCGCCATGCAAGAAACCAGTGGTGGCATCAAAATACACAATGAAGGGCCTATCATATCTGATATGTGCTTGCTGCAGGTAGTCTACACTCCGAAGTGATTTGGTCTGGTTGTGAGAGCTCAGGTCTGCGAGAGGAGGATGGCTTGGGGATGCCGCACAAGCCACAACAGGAACACTAGGACTCGAGGTGGAGTCGATGCAAGAGAATTTGGTAGGGGGTGGGAGGGCTCTGTGGACTGTGGTTTGGGCTCTTGAGCAATCATCTGCATCTTCCTGAGCCTCCACTAACCCTTCAACCTTGTTCCTCCACTTCCTGCTCTCACTCCATTCTTTTTCGGCAGCCTGCTTCCTCGAAGTTGCCAGCTGTGCCACACTCCACTTTGAAGACAACGACTACCTTCAAGTGTGCGGTTGCGCATGAAGGAACACTTCTTGGGTTAAAAGCCTTGACTCATCCTTGCCCTCTTTCTGTTAGCATAACAATCAGCTTGCAGTCGGCAATGGTTGGTGAGCACTCGTGAGGAGAGTTTGGGCTGGCATGTGGGTCGTGCTGGTGAGTCTATTTCCGCTATCATACTCTCTGTTCATTTGAGTCACAACATTTCCTCACAATTGATGGGAACCTTCCCCTAGTTCCCCACCTTCCACTCCTGGGGACACGTACTTGTCCCTGCAGTTGCTCATTGCAGTGTCATATGGTGGTCCGACCCTGTTTGAGTCCTCTTGTTGCTACTCCATCTGTTGCTCGCTTGAGTGCCCCCGCATTCTCTGAGTTAACGTTTGACACCCATTTGTCACCACATTCAACACCCTTCCATTTGCCACGTCCTTCTTCTTGGAACCGGACACGGCGCTTGCTGCATCCTCACATGCCCATCTGTGTATGACTCGCCGTTGACAGTCCTCCAGTTTGTTTGGCCTATGCTCCTCTGTGCCCTGATCTTGACCACACTCGTGCTTACTAGTATCCATAGGCCTCAAGTCATTCTCACCACTCTGCCTCATATGTCCTCATTCCAGCTGAGTGTGCTGTAATATTTTGACCCTGATTCCTTGCGGTATTCCTGCATGCATGGCACTGCCTACCAAGTGTTGTCCGCTCTGTTGTTGCTCTTGTGGTTGAGCATTGGCGGCTGCCCCGCAAGTGTGCACCAAGCTGATGCTTGCCCTCCCCCCCACCTGACACAATGAATCCTTTTGCCTGTGCATCTTCTTCATTGGCAAGACTGAACAGACCCTGTGACACATCATGCCAGTAATTGATTCACATTTACCAGCAGTTGGCAGTTCCGCGGGAGGTCAAGAAGCTGATTGCTCGTCCCAATCTTCACTTGCTGATGTTGTTGGCTAGGTCCTCTTAGACAGAGGAAGGCTCTGATCTATCATATCTCGCACAAGCTTGCTGTCCGTCAAGCTGGTGTGTGAATCACTCCTTCCCTGTCCCTGTCGTAAGTTTGCGCCCTGCCCAACACTGTGAATTGTCCCACCCATTCAAGTTGGCCACCCATGTATGTCCTTGCTCCCTCTGAGTACATGGAGATGACATGCACCTCCCCGTGCTTGCTTACCAGGAGGTATCCGCGCAGTTCACGGGACAGCACCAAGAGATTTTGCAGCAGGACAGCAATTCTGGAGTCCATGGTGGAGTCCTGCCAACTTGTCAGCCAACAAAGTATGCACAAGCTGCCAGTTGTTGCACTCTTGTATATGCACTTCTTGCTCAATAAAGGGCTATCAGAGGCATTGGCATACTCAAAGTGCTGCCACTGATGCGGTGGTGATATCCTTGCTCGCACATGGTGAGATCAGCAGTGTAGTATGGCTTGTGGCCTGGGACAGCAAAGTGTAACTTATGTATGATAGGGCCGATGTTTTGAGGGTTGGCAATATAGGTGATATGATACCAATGTTTGAAGCACAAACAGTACTGTAACGCCTTAGCAGTTCCCCCAATAAGGAAACTGGTAAACATATCATGTGACTGGCAGCTTGGTGGGCCATTGCTCCAAGCACTCACACACTGTAGGGCCTATATAGCCTCAGCCAGTAACAAATCATAGTATACATAGTATGCTCATCTGATAGCCCTTCATTCAGAGAGTATACAGGAATTTTACTGAGTGCATACAGTGGCTGGCTAACCCAGGAAATGCAAAGCAAAAAAAATGCACATGTGCCTCTGCAGATTCAATCTGCTTGTTTATGACTCAAATATGGTCTATATGTACACTGCAATGTATATGTGTAGTTCAGACACTGGGGACTACTCAATAATACAGGTAACAAGGACTATAATGGGTAATCTGAGCATCTTTTGCCATATTATGGCCCTTGCATACAATGTAATGGTAACCATTGCAGCTCAAGGCAATCATACACTTGTCTTTGATGTGTCTGTATATTCCATAGATTTTCTGCATTTTTCTGAGCCCTACATGCCCCTGTTTGTGTATGATTCCTCTTTGGGAAGGTCACATACTCCATATGGTAATTATGCATCCACTGCTGGCTTTGTCTTGCTCACAGACACAATCTAGGGATACATACCTGAATGTGTACTTACACTATGATCTTATAGGGTTGTCCAGTACATGAGCAGTTCCAAGAGTGAAGTAGCAGGCTTATATAAGCTCACTGGGGCCACAGCAACCATCTTACCAGGTTATTGAGAATGCTATCTGATCTGATGTCAAACCCATGCAATATACAGCTTCATTCACATTGCCTGGATCATTTTGAATATGTTCTCAATTTTCCGCTTTTTTCTGAGTCTAAACAAGCTCTCTCAAGCACATTAACAGTCCGCACTTACATCGCTTACTAAGCACCCATCAAGCGCCCAGATGCCGTTCGGAGGTGCATCCGTGTGGAAATTTGGCACGGTTGCACCTCCGAACGGCACGAGAGGGATGCCGAGCTGCTCTGATTGGTGCAACAAGCCCTTTTCTGCCCTAATCAGGCAGGCTGCCGAGGTTTTGAGCTGAGTTTGAATCTCAGCCACAGGCTCCTTAGTGGCACTGTACCTGCTGTACTGTGGCCTCACTAAAATGCGGAGAATTCCCAAAATAATCTCTGTGATAGGTATGATGTCATAGAGTCTATAGCTGCTGTGACTTGCCCATTACCTTCAGTGTTTACAATTCACAAAACAAAAAAACATGCAACTGCCTCTGTGCACATGAGTGCATACATTTTCACCTCAAAAGTCTCTCTTTTGAAGCCTATATGCTGCCCACAGATTCTCTGACATCTCAAACCTGCTAAATAGGGTAGCTGACCTTCCTAAAATGGTAATTTTGCTTAACCTGCTCAGTCTGGGCTCAGAAAATGCAGATAAAATCAGGGAATATTATGTGTAATCAGACTCATATGTATTGCCTTGTATATGAAGGCAATTTATCTTGTATGGAGGCCCCCACAATATATCACTAGTATGACTTGCCCAGTTGTTTGAAATTCAGGAAACAGAGAAACACATGCATGAATGTGGCATTTGACTGGGATACACTGACTGAAATCTAATCAACTCTCATAGAGGTTATAGAGATGATAAACTCATTTGATAGCCCATCATTTCAAGGGTTAATCATACATTGGAGGAATGAAGAACAAAGTACAACATTTAGATAATCACAAGTAACTTTGCAGATATGACTGGCTTGTTGTCTCTGAAACACATTGCCTATGACCTGTATGGATATGTGCATAGTTTACAATGCATGGGTGTGTCTGGAAGTTGCACAGCACAGCTATTATTGGGGAAAGATGGTGATAACATACATGTTTTGATGTCTCAGCACTGAATGAGCATATATGGCAATATTCTCCACTTGTGAATATGCTCAGGGATGCTCCACATATCTCCTGGAATATTATCTGATGAATATGCATTTTCTTGAGCCCAAAACAAGTGAATTGTGCTGCAGTACCAGCATACACTTACATCGCTTACTAAGCGCTCATTTAAGCGCCCGTTGCCGAAGCGGAGTCGTCGACAGGCCGGAATTCCGGCCTGTCGACAACTCCGGTCACTCAAAAGGGATTTTGGAGCACTCCCATTGGCTGAAATGCTGACAAATGTTCCCTTTTAAAGTAATCTTTCAATCTCAGCTCTTCATGCTGAGTTTTTTGATGGCTTGAAGCCACACTAACTGAGCTCTTACTAGAGCCCCATTAAATGCGGAAAAATCCCAAAATATTGCTTCTCCATGGGATGCCCCTTGGGTACTGATAGCAGTGTCCAGATTAGGTGTCTTTGAGAGTACTGACCATCATAAGTGATGATACTGAGGCATATAAGCAGATCTTGGTGTGTGTATGATGCTTGTACTAGACAGTTCCACATGTATGGGCTATGTGAGGTGGAGGATATCAAACATACAAAACTGCCATATATGGTCAGTCCCCTGCCCATTTGGGAAGTTGGCCTCTGCAGGACTGGATAAATAGCAGGAAAATCAAAGAAAAATCAGATAGTACTATGAATTTGTTACAAGTCGCCATATTACGTACATTTCATTTCTCTTTACTTGTTATCTCTAACCACCTCACGTGCATGAGGACCGGTTATGTACTATACCGCACCCGGACTATCATGTGATAGCTGACCCTTGCTTACTCGTTTCCTCGTCATGATTACCACTTTCTTCGTCAGCGCTGACGCGTCCTGACTTATGCTTACTATACGTCTTGACTCAGACTCATCCAAGTGTATATATACCTGTACAGTAGGGGTCGGACTCTTCAGTTCGACCTGGTTAGCAATCGACGCTAGCTTTCTCATACCGCTACCGCTTCGGAACTCGACAAGGACGAAGGGATTCACATCCTTCCTCGATCTAAGACACAGAACTTTTCCTCGAAGTTAATAGCCTTGCAAGCTTGTGGCTTGTAGTGTTCCACTCGCCTAGCTTCGCATAACATAAGGTTGAACTCTTCTTCCATCTCCACCTTCTCAGGTGTAGAGAACCCAACCTCCCGAACGGGCTCGAATCCTCGAGTCCGCTGAAACCAACATCACGCGCCATCCGATCCTTGACCCTGGCCGACTCAATCTACCAGGCCTAGGCGCAGAAGAAACCCTTTTCTGGGACGACAAACTCCTCCGATTTGATATCACCGCGAAAGGACGTACCGAACCCGTCCACGCCAAATTCTCGAACAAACACCAGTGACCAGACATACGTTTGGACGAACTTTTGTTCCAACGTCGACAACGGAAAGAGAACTACCCAGTTCTTTTTGAAACAACCACGATTCGCGAAAGCAAAAGCCCATATCGCTGGGTTGAAACGATCTCTCTCCCGAACCCCGTCCCTAGAACTCGAACCATCGACTTCTACCCGAACACTTGAGAAGCGTCCTGAATGAACTCCCGCACCGATCGAACCTCTATCGTTGACTCCCGTCGACGAAGAAACCAGAACCGAACCAGACACCTTTCCCTATCGTCCCCTGTCACCCGAACCACCAATGTCCGTCTCTTCTGCAGAGTTCCAGGCTCTGAAACAGGAGCTTCTGGAGCTGAAGGCCCGGAAGTATAGAACGAGGAGAAAAGCTTGAGGTCACGAGTCCGGAAGCCTTCAAAGGCGACCCTCTGGACTTGACTCGCTTCCTCAACGACATCAAGAACTACTTCGCGGCCACAAAGAATACCAACACCGATGACCAACGAAAGATCGCTTACGCGGTCTCCAAGCTCGACGGGAAAGCCAAAGGATGGCACACCCTGTTCTACGAGGAACAGAATGAGAAGCGCACGAACAACCAGGTCATGTACCCGACCTGGAAAGACTTTGTGGCCGCTCTCACATCGTCATTCCCTGTCTATGAGCACCTCGACAAAGCCATCACCGACTTCGACAATCTCAATCAAGGAAAGATGTCAACGCACGAGTTCATGCACAAATTCAAGACGGCCGCGGCATGAGCCAAATTCCGGGATGCTACCGGAACGGGAGCTACCAGGGTTGCCAATGACTATAACCTGCTCTCCAACCGTTTCCGCCGCGCAGTTCGACCCGAGCTTCTTCGGAAAATGCTTGGAACCAACAGGACAATGGAGAAGATGTCAGACTGGTACGACGTCGCCCAGAAACACGCCTCCTATGGCGAGTACGTCGACCGACCCCATGGTGGACAGGTACCCAGGACGAGTGGCCGACTCGACGAGCCCATGGACATCGACGCTACCACGTCCAACCGCATGTCCCAGGCAGACCGAGACCGACACATGAAAGAAGGCCTCTGCTTCGTGTGCCACCAGAAGGGTCACCGCTCCATCGACCACCGCAATGGGAAGGTACCACAGCCGGCCGCTTATCGTCCCGCACAATACACCGCACCTCCCCCGGCCCCGCGATCAAAGACGATCCGTGAGCTCTTCGCAGAACTGAAGGCCGAGGAGAAGCAGTCCGTCTTCGAGCAGCTCGGAGCGGATTTTTAGGAGGGTTCCACGACTCAGCGCAGTGCGAACCCACGAACTTTACCGTCTCACATGTACAATACGGCATAGAAGAATCAGAATCCTTGCACCTACCCGTATTCGTGAGAGGAAAAGACGCCGACACCGAAGTGAATGCTCTTGTGGACAGTGGAGCCATGGCAGTGTTCATACACCCCCGCCTAGTCATCCGACTAC